AAGTTTAAGATACAGGAGGGAGGAGCAGTAATATTAGCATTGTGACCCAAAGTTTATTTATAAAGTTTAAGATACAGGAGGGAGGAGCAGTAAAATTAGCATTGTGACCCAAAGTTTATTTATAAAGTTTAAGATACAGGAGGGAGGGGCCGTAAAATCAGGAAAAGAAGACTAACCTGATGACATCTTTCTCCTTGTCATTCATTATCTTTCTCCAGTCCTTGAAGAAGTTCTTGTTAAACACCTCCTTGGTTGTGTAGTCATGGTCCAACATTCGTCCGTAGAATGTTGCAACCTCTTCGGTATCCTGGGACAGCCGCATCACCTAAAATAACTATCGTCTGAAAAAATTTACATAAAAATATTAAGAAGTTGGACAAAGTTTATTCGCTTTGTTTGAATTGTCCTAATTATTTAAGAAACTGCGGTAAATAATTTGTAACTCTTTTATCCGGATCAACACAAAAAATGCAGATCCGCATCAATGTAGAAGGCTAATCCTGGAGACATTAATAACATGTTTTCAAGAGTATTCATATGTTTTCGACTAAGGCAAAACCACAGCTAGATATTTGCGTATTATGTATCGTGTTACAATCAACAAAGCCATTATGTCATAAATCTGATCAAATTTCCTTCTCACCTTGCCATCATACCAGAATCTGACATTATCAGGAAGAAGTTCATACTCCGGGGCAAACAGAGGACCCTTGTGCTCCAGGAATCTCCACTTTACACCTTCAGGGAGCTGTTCATTCTCCTCCCACCATCTCCAAACCTGAAAATATTCAAAAAATAAACCATGTTATAGAAGATATCAGGGGACAGACAGGTGAAGATAAGCCTTCTGCAACTAATCAATTAACTTAATACTTTGAACCTGAACTTATGAGTAACTGTAGCCCCCCGCGGTAAAAATAAAATGAGAGAAACAATGTTTACCTTCTTCTCTTCTTCCAATTCTTTCTCCTTTTTAGTCATTTTCTTGGTGGGACTTCCGTTAGTGGTAGTCTTCTTCTCAACCTTAGCCTTCTTCTTCGCCGGCTTGAAATCTTCTTCTTCTTCCTCATCTTCGTAAGATTTACTCTTCTGCTGTTTCTTAGCCTTGGCTTTCTTTTTAGAGATGGGTTCGTCTTCAGAATCTTCCTCACTCTCAACTTTCCTTTTCTTATTCTTGGATGGTTTCCTCCGGGCCAGGGGAACATCTTCATCGGACTCTTCGCCATTCACTTCAGGTTTAAAATCTTCCTCTTCCTCCTCCTTGATATCAGGTTTAACGTCTTCATCTTCTTCATCATTTTTTCCTTTACCCTTCAGCCTAGCCTCCTCCTGCTCGAAATAATCATCCCCGAGCTCCATAGGCTCATCCTTAACTTCTTTCTTAGGAGAAGACTTTTCTTTTCGTTCCTTCTCCTTCCTTTCCTGTCTTTCACGTTCCTTCCTTGCTGCACGTTCTTCCTCTGTCTCGTTCTTCTTTTCCTTTCTTTCCTTCTCCTTACGGATTCTTCTTTCCTCTTCAGTTTCATTTTTGCTTTTTTCTTTTCTTTCCTTTTCTTTACGGGCGGCTCTTTCTTCTTCAGTTTCTTTTCTTTTCTCTTTTCCTTCCTTTCGTTCTCTCTCCTTTCGAGCAGCTCGTTCCTCCTCAGTTTCAGATTTCTTTTCCCTTTTCTTTCTTTCCTCATATTCTTTTCTCTCTCTTTCCTTTCTAATCTTTCTTTCTTCCTCAGTTTCGTTTTTAGAACGTTCTTCTCTCTCTTTACGTTCCTTTTCCTTTCTTGCAGCACGTTCCTCTTCAGTCTCCTTCCTTCGCTCCTTTCCGTCCCGTTCCTTCCTTTCTCGTTCCTTTCTTGCTGCCCTCTCCTCCTCGGTCTCTTTCGGTTTACTTTCTCGTCGCTCCTTCTCCTTTCTTATTCTTCTTTCTTCTTCAGTTTCATTTTCCCGTGCTTTCCTTTCCTTCTCCTTCCTTACTCTCCTCTCCTCAGATGATTCTCTGTTTTTGCTTTTAATATCTCCATTTCCGTTGCAATGCCCGTTCATACCATTGGTTACAGGGGAGGACAAATCATCTACTTCCATCCTGGAAAACATGCATTATAAATCAGCACTAATGCTTTTACATAACCTTGGAGTAATGCACTAAAGAAAAAGAAACAAAACCGGTCCGTCCGAGTTAATGACTTTTGTCAATAAAGCTGCGCACATATATTTTTCCCCACAAATTTATTTTTTATACGATTCGGGGTTTTTGATCAGGGTCTGTCCTAGTGAACGACTTTTGGCCCCCCCCCCCCTCCTATCAATTTTTTACATGACCATTTATTTTTCAGCAAATTTATTATTATTTATTTTATTGTTATTTAGGGTTAGGTTAAGACACTTTCTGGGCCGAGCGCTGCGGCTAGGATGGGCTAGGGGGCCGAGCGCTGCGGCCACGGGTTAGGTTAAGTTAAGACACTTCCTTTCAGACCCATGTACAAAATTGATATGAGGGGGGGGGGTGTCCATAAATCATTCTCTAGGAATATACCTTTGATCATGTGTTACAGTGAGCTACATGTACAAAATTGACCCTAAAAAATTGTCAGTGCATTTCCCGACCGGACGTTACGCAGACAAGGAGATCACCGAAACAGAACAAATTATATTTTTTTTTTAACGAAAACTTTAAAACTTGTAATTTTCGTAAATAACATTTAAAATAAAAAAACATTTTTTAACACTTTTTTAGATTTTGTTTGAAAAAAATTAAATTTTCGAATTTGTGAAAAATTTTATCGAGAAATGTATCGAAAGCAATCAGATTTTAAATTTAGGAATTTGCAAGAAAAAAATTTGTAGAATTTTGTCGTTATATTGTCAAGTCCCGTTTTATCCGGATACTTAGAATTCTACGAACAAAGATGGCGGTTTAGCTCTCCCATTCTCAACCTTTATATTTCATTCCTTAAAAACTATATTTCTACACTTTCCATCTCGTTTTGGAAACTCTTAATACGTTTTTAACTCGTTTTGGTTGATCTAGATTTTTTCTCAAAAATTTGAAAAATTAAAAAAAAATTACAAGTGTTTATAATAATGTCCATTTAATTCCTGGGACTTCTCCAATTTCTGGATTTTCTGTTTTCAATTTAATTAAATGGGGCTAATGTTTGACCCTGGTGGGTTTACTCGAGGAAATGTCGATTACCTGTTCTTCTGTTGAGTTGAAAGATGATTTGATGAGGTGTAGAGGAAGATTTAGACTGAAATGTTTTCCACGAGGTGAAAATTTTCCAAGTGCCAGCTTAGTTTGGAACTTAGTACAATCTCGGACGAGAAGCCAGGAGCTGAGGAAGGGCAAAGTAGGCAGAGGCGGACAGGGCCATCAAAGTTTCCAGCGCAGCTTGTTCTGCGCAAGGAGCTGATTCAAAGATAGCTAGACTGACAGTCGGACCGGGCCCTTAACCTGCCCAGCTGTTAGGCGAACTAAGTCGTGCCGGGACAACTATTGTTTAATTGGCGCGGACAGTTTCCCTTTAAGCGGGTCGGCTCGCCGGATCCTTCAGTCATTGGGTTGGCAGCGAAACCGCGCGGCGTTGGAGCTAAAGTACAGATGGAAACAAACGACATTCAAAGACATCAATTTAAATTTATTAATATTATTGACGTCTTACGTAATGATTAAGATTGGGGTCATTGGGGACACTAATTGTCAGAACTTCTAAAATTTGTATCAAGCATCAAACTAATGTTAATAACGGTATTAATCATGCAATGTTTAGAAGAGCTGCTAGGGGAAAATTTCAACAACTTGACTTAATAAGCAAAACCAAGAAAAATGAAAAAAGGTTTTATCATTTGTACGAGGGAGGGAACCCCCAGACGCCATGAGCCTCTACTCATGCAGAAATGAGCCTCCACTATACATGACGGCAACAGCTTCTTAAACTCGACTTGGCTTTTAAGTAGTAAAGGAATGTTCGCATTTTTTTTAAANCAGCTTCCTAAACTCGACTTGGTTTTTAAGTAGTAAAGGAATGTTCGCATTTTTTTCAAAATATAAAAAAGGTTTATCAAAGATCAGTAAAGTCTTGATCAATTATTATAATTAAGGAAAACATGTTTATAGAAAAAATTATGGAAGTAATGAATTTAATTTGATATTTTATAATCTTTAATTTAAGTGATACCTTTATTTGAAATTTCTATCAGATTAAGATAAGGTATTGCTTAAATCAAAGATTATTAAAAAATATAAACAAGTTCAATTTAGAATTTCAAAATAGCCTCCTTACAGCGTACAGCATATTGTAAAACACGTTATGTCGAGCCAATATAATTAAGTTACAAATCATTACAATCAATGCACAGCATTGATCTTATGTAAAATTCATTTGCTATGTTGAAAAGAATGAAAAAAATCTATATTACATACAAAAACCAAGAGTTATAGGACGCTGTGCTGTATAACGCAGGCTCGGTCTGCCTAGCAAATCTGAGAGGCTCGTGTCTGCATAGCGTACAGGGGTTTCCTCCCTCCTTGCACTTGGTGAACGTTAATTCAGTCAATAAAGCTGACATCACTTCAAGAATTGTCCGAAATACTCCGGATTGGCGTACGTACATTATCAACATAGCCCCCCCCCCAATTCATAGGAGATAAACGTTAAATCCAGAATCAGCCCAAAAAAAAAGTTTCACAAAACGTGAATTAGGTAACATATTTTGTATACGGTTTTGACAGGTACATCTTTAAATGGTTCCTAATGATCCGTGCTTAGGCTGAACGAAAACTATCTGATTCAACAACAAAGAGAAAAGACGGTTTATCATGTAATTATAAAAAATCATGAATTCAAGGCACCTTGGGAAATAAGGTTGTGGTCAAAATATAACATCATCTTGACAAATATTAGTTTTTCTATGGATATCTATTTAATTGATAAAGAGAAAAGACGGTTTATCATGTAATTATAAAAAAACATGAATTCAAGGCACCTTGGGAAATAAGGTTGTGGTCAAAATATAACATCATCTTGACAAATATTAGTTTTTCTATGGATATCTATTTAATTGATCACATTTAACAAACATATTATTTATCACAGTCTTACACAAACACATATTTTAAGGTTTGCATTTCTTCTTGTGTTTCAGGATTTCTATCGGAGACAATCTCAGCTCCTGTCTGCAGGTAGAGCAGTTAAACTTCTTTAAACTAGGATCGGATTCTCTCTCCGACCTCTCCAGTTCCGCCAGATGCTCTCGTAACTTGACAACCTCCTCCGCCCCGCTACAGGCGGAGTAGTGGCACATTCGCTCCAGGGGCAGATATTCACCCTGGGCCTTAACAAATAAAATCAAACTATGAGAAAGCAAACATATTACAACAATTTTTGAAATTTTTAAATCTATTGAGGTGCCCAATAAGATAAATCAATGTGTTAAATCTTAAACCAACTAGTTGTACATTTTGCACAATGACGATTGAATACAATAAAATATACAAGATATTTACAAAAAATCTATACTGTATGACAAAATGGATTGAAAACTTTGACCTATAGTTCTATTAAATTCTGACCCTCAGGAACATCTTTGTACTGTAAGATTAACCAAATAATTAATTTCCAACCAACCTGACAGAAAGGACAGATCCAGGTCATCTTTTCTGCTCCAGTGAAATCCCCTGCCAGACAATTGTAAGTTATATTTTCAGTCATCTTCATCCCACCCTTGACAGGATGCCGGGTAGGATCAACCGAAGGATCAAACGGATTCTTAGTATCCTCAAACCAACCCATCCCTCGGCCTACATATGCAACCTTGATATCCGCGGGGAGCAGACGCTTCACACTGAACACACTCTCGTTGTGAATGAACTCTAGTAGGCCCCGGGATAGGGTTGACTCTAACTCTTGTTGTTCTGCTCTAGACTTCTCATCGTTCTTGATAGTGCTTCCTGCATCCTCCAGCTTGAGATTGAGCAGAGCTAACCAGTTTCTCCGCAGTTTAACCGCTGCAAGGAGCTGGTTTTGTCCAGTCTCCGGGTCTGCGAAAGTTATCTCCAACCAGGAGTCAAATATGATCCTTGACACGTCTCCATTCGTCTCTATTGAATGTGAGAAGAGGAGGAGAACAGGTAGAGCTGGAACCCGGATAGAAGCAGTGAGATATGGTTTCATGGTTTCCAGCAGAGATATGTAAACTAGTAACTGATGTTTAGCGCTAGGAGGATGCTTTGCAGTAAAACCTTAACATAAATATTATTACCTCCATGTCCATGTTCATGTTCATGTTCATGTTCATGTTCATGTTCATGTTCATGTTCATGTTCATGTTCATGTTCATGTTCATGTTCATGTTCAT